ACGGCTGCTTCTCCGCTGCCATACCGCCTGCGGGCGCGATCCGGTGCTGCTGCCTCGCTGCCTCGCCGCTACCGTACAAAGGCCGAGCTCCCCTTCGCTTCAAGCGGACGGACGGACGCAAGCCAGAGCTCTCTCGCCAGCAGCGTCAACTGCTGTATACACTCAGAACGCTTTCCTCGGCGATTACTTAGCGATTAACGTGGTACATGTATATGGGATAGATTCCGAAACGAATTTGGTGTTACGACCCTTCGTTAATATAATTAATTTAACCCTCAGACAAGAACAAAATAAATTGTTTGTTACTGATTAGAAATAATTCTGAAATCAAGTGATAAGGTGAAATAATAAAATTTTTTTATGGTTTGGTCATATTAATTTTTAAGCAAACAATTTAACAGAAGCTTATAATTTATGTCATTTACTCTCTCCTGAGTCGAACAGATTTTAATTTTCCCTTGTGCATTCGCCGCGCCTTAATTGTATGCGAGACCTTCTCCTCAATGCAATTTGAATTTGAGGATCTTGCCCTAGCTATGGGGAAGGGAGAATATGTGTCTGCCAAGAGGGACAGTAGCATGGCAATTGCTTGACTAAGTAAGCTCGCCTATGGGGAGCAGAAGGATCGCGACCTTCACTGACTCCTTTTTAAGGCCCGAAAGCTCACCAAAAAAAGTCCTTATATTGATGGTTCAATCCATTTTTAAAGCGACAAGTTCATTGGATTGTTATTACTTCCTTAGGCAAGAGTGCTCCAGGTACATGTACTGTGAAAAATGTTTAACGTATAATTGTATTTTATTAATATACAAAGTCATAATTCCATTTCATGTATTGTATTTATTCTAGTGATGATCTCATTGTAATTAAAAAGTTGAAAGGGAGGGGGTGCAAAAATGTAGTCGCCCGCTGATTTGTTTTAGCCTGTGCACCCACCTCTAACTCAATTTCTCAATACTAATTTAGAGTTTTAACACATACAATGTGAAACACTATTAGCTAAAGAGGCTGGAACACTTAACCAACATAGCTTTCAAGATGCTTTGGTCAGATGAAACCGGAATATTTATATAACCCTTAAAACAGATTTAGGAGTGTAAATACACCATAGAAATTTGAACAGACTAGTCACAGTCATTACGATTGGCACAGGTCAATCTATATTTCACACGTAATCGCCATCTGTCCTGGCCGCAAAAGATCAATGTCGCGAATTCTTGAAATAATACATACGAGTTACATCTTGTAAAAGGCACAGACAAAGACCCTGACTTTGAATACAATTCGATTTATTATCAGGTTATGTGTCTCATTACATGAGGCAAATTCACTGTGTCGTAGTTATGGTAGGAAGATTGTAATAGTGATATTTGAATGACTCTCTGATATTCATTTCAAATAGTTGACGAAAAAGTCAGTTTACTTTACGAAACATCGGTAACATGAATGATAGCTGACCAAATGCTGCAATATTAATGTTGTTCCAAGGATATTAAGGCACTGGATATTGACTCACGGGCAAAGGAGTATTCCATTTTATTCAGAGAACATGAAGAAAAGTTGCGTTTGAATGAGAAATGTTGAGTCCAGTGCCGTTCCGAATTGTTTTTGTCCGCGTTTTTAGCCTGTTTGGGAAGCGTTATGTCATTTGAGGAACAGTAAATATTGATTTGACAGAAATGTCTAATACGAATGGATATTTAATGTCGGCGTCCTTCCTTCAAGTAACAAAAATAAAATAAATTTCAGTTTTGGAGTTGGCATCATGATTGGGATTGTATAACAAACTTGAGCATCAGCAAAAATTAAATATTTCACTTTAAATTTGCCTAGGCAGATTGTTCAGTGTTAACTTTTGCATGAAGGTACAATAAGAATCTATTTAGGGCTCATAAAATGAAACGGTTACTAATTGAATGCAAGAATGCCACCCATTGGAAGATCAGTTAATTCAGAACGGGAGAATCGAATTCTTCTCTGAACTGTTTCTTGATTATTTAAATAACTTTCTAACTATTATCAGGTATACGCTCAATTGTCGCTTCTTGATTCAGTCGGTCTCTCTGATTAATCGACTTTTCTCGCTAAGTTGCTGTTACCGACAACTTGGTACTTCCGCTATGTAGTTCCCAATCTCTTTCCTTTCTCGCCTCGGAAAGTGCGCGTGTGGGCATAGGCGAATAAGCATGAGCTCTAAATTTAGCCCGCGCCAACGAGCCCCCTGTCGACGCACCACCCACCCCCATCGCTGCCGCCGCGCTGTCCGGCTTCGATCCGAGCCATCGCTCATGAATCGCGCCATTAGCGTGTCAGATAGGACTGGACGAGGTTACACGACGCCCACGCACACAGGGCCCGCAAATTCACCGATTGATTTGATGCCGGCTTTCTACTTAAGGCATTATTATATAAGTGTTTAATGCCGCGCTGGACGGGTGCCACGTCCTGACAGAGGGTCGTGGTTTGAGTACCGCCTACACGTTTTCAGCTCGATGAGTACACGGGAATTTCGAACTGTATATGTTACTAATCCCCTCATCATAGGTATAATTATTGCCAAAGCCACAAAACCATTCTCAATCTCTAGTCCAACATCCAGTCGGATTTGACAAAAATAACTCGCAAATCATGTTCGAGCAAAACACAATCCGATGCGACATTGCGAATTACACAAGGAACTAATTTCGCACATGTCCTCCCAATATTTCAATACTTATGCATATTTTACTAAATCGGAGACTGAGTGTCGGACTCGCTAATGACGAATGACGCAACTATGCTATTTGTGGAATACTTATTCTACAGTGCTCTTTACTGTCTGTATTGTTTTTGCTGCATCATCGGAAAATTCCGGGAATAAACGCCTTCATTTCCCCAATTTCTTTATCAGGAAATTCAGTGTAATAAATATATGTACACAAAATGTAGTACATTAGATGTTTTTGTTCGTCGTGCAAAGCCGTTTGAACACTTGTAATTCGTTATTACTCTTACGCGGTAAGGGCAGGGCGCGCAGGTAATGCCACTCAAGGCCTTGTTCGGTCCCATCCCGCCGCGACCTCGCCGCCCGCCGCCGCGCCGCGGGCCGAAATGACCGGCACGCGCACCCGCGACCCGCGATTTTTTCTTTTCTCTTTTCTTGCGGAGGCGGCCCCGTGGCGGAGCGGTGGTGTGCTGTGGTGCCGAGTTCGCGGCGGGGCGGCTCGCCGGTGATTCTTCGGCGGCCGCCGGCGCCGCTGCCGCTGCGGCCGAGAACGCGACTTGTGCCGAGCGAAAGAGGCAACGGGGCCCAGTCACGCTCCCGCAAGCAGGCGCGAAAAGCTATTGACGCCAGATGGCAGAAACGGCAATCGGGGCCTCTGTCCGAATTTCGGAGAGGCGAAGGGAGAGCGCTGCGCCAGACTCAGCGGTCTAAAAGACACATAGATGTAGGGCCCATGTCGAAATAAATTTGATGCATGGCGAGACGGGAATGTATCGCTGGATCTTTTGGTCGGGAATGTTAGCAGGAATACTTTTAAAATCGGTCTACTGTAAAAATGATACCGAACTCTGTAATATCTTATTAAGATGGAAATGAGCCAACATTTTTAACAGAGTTTAATGGTGTTAGCACATTAAAAGATTTAGTGAGTTTCGTCTCGAAAGTTCTTATATCAAATCGTCACTTCAAGAGCGTTTTGTGAAATTTTAGCTACGACACTCACTGTAGCTAGTGTTATTTCCACATTTTTCCCAAATTATTTTTCCACATTTTCTCATATTGAGGATCCCATATTAAATATTTAACTCTGTAGTACGAGGTTCTAACGATTTGCTAGTCCTAACGGAAGACCCTGTTTCGCTCTTGAAGCGAGTCAATTCTCGAGATCAAAACATTCAAACTTCCTGGATTTTTTGGTTGTTACGAAATTATTGCGTATGTATGCGTTTTCGTATGGATGATTATTTGAATTTCAAGAGCCTCCAGCTGATTGTAACCCTGTGAAACTTTTCCTGCATCAGGGCAGACCCTTTGAGGCCAGTCTGCCCACCCCCTATTCGAGAATTCCACATCAAACAGAATGGTGTCTACTGCTCTCATCTAATGTTCATCCATTAGATGTTATTCTAATTTTATTGGAGCTTACCAATGCAACTGTTGCTTTGAATGTGGAAGATAAAGATTTTATGCTTCGAATTTATGAAATATCTTGTCGCGAATTACAACATGACTATGGCTATGACGTGAGCAAGTGAAATCATTATCAGAGTTTGTGTGTAAATGGAGAAATCATGCCTGTCTAAATAGGAAAGCGCTTATTTTCATGTTCTGACGATGGTGGTCGCTTATCGTCCCCGCAGAAGGCGAGTTCGGCACGTTCACGTTCGTGGTATCTCTCGGCGCCGAGGGTTTCGCAAAGGACAAAAAATCGCCAAAGGAAACTCGCACCATGTATTGCAGTAATTGAGCAGATAAATTACAAGGTGACCCCGTCCGGAACATCGACGCTCGCGCCTTTTATCAGATAGCTGCTGCCTGAAACGACGCAATGGGCCACGTGACTTCTCCGACATCTTCTCGAAATGGCTAAGCTCGAAATGGCCGCGATCCAACCCATCAATTATTCAAAACACTAAAAACTGAACCGCTTTTTATTCATTTTCTCGATTATCCATTTTACTGTTCTTTTACCCATTTCTTCCTGTTTTACAAACTATCTTTGAATGCGGTACAGTAAGAAAAGTGAGGTAACTAAATTAAATGCCCAAAAATAATAACACTTATGAAAATGATTACGTACAAGTGTGTCAGTTTTACGTGAAGTTTACTTCTTTGTTAACTATTTCGAACCACCCCTCCTCGCCTGACAAATAATAATGAATATTTACGGACAATTTATACCTCCATTTTTTTTACAGAAGAAAGAACTGCGCATTTCATAATCGCTAACCAAACTAATTTGACTTGTTCGGCTAACACTCGATATTATTAGGTCGGCAGTTGTGTGACAATTTTACTTTCCGGAAACTCTGTTAGAGTAAACATCCTTAACGCATGAATCATTTCATATTTATATGGATACATTTGCCCGTCCCTGTTGCATTGTTATGGTTGTCTCTCAGACTATTTATTCACACAAAGGTTTTGATAAATATTTATTCGCAAATTTCGACTAGTATTGTTTTAAACAGCATTTTGCAATTTTTGGTTATTCGAATCTCACACACGCGAGGGCAATGCTTTACATAAATCACAATTAAATTTTTATATATTAATTATGATTTAATATTAATATTTTGATTATGCATTAATATTTTCTTCGGTATAATATTACCGAATATTTAAAATTTATTCGGTAATATTAATATGAAAACACAAAATAAAAATTAAAAACTAGCAGGAATATTATCATATACCCATACAAACTATGTTCTGTATGATTCCCACAATAATAGTTTGTTTTTTTTCGAAAAGTTCACTACTCTGGCTTCCTGATTCATCCAAATTAAGTTAGGACCTAGATTCAGTAATATTAATATGAAAACACAAAATAAAAATTAGAAACTAGCAGGAACATTATCATATACCCATACATACTATGTTCTGTACGATTCCCACAATAAGTTTTGATTGTTTTTTCGAAAAGTTCACTACTCTGCCTTCCCGATTCATCCAAATTAAGTTAGGACCTAGATCTGTTAAGTTTTGTTGGTTTTATTGTGTTAATGCTTTTATTGCCTTATTGCGAAGAATAAAAGTGTCAACAGATTTCATTGAGAAGTGCGATTTCCCTCACAGAAAAAGAAAGACGAAAATATGACGTGTGTGATGTAAATACGTATAATGAACACATAATGATATTTATGATAAATTCAGGCAAATTTATGACTAATTTCTCAATTCTTTACTGAATGTCAATCAAATAAGGCGTAATTAGAAAAGTTCAAATCATGTAAAATTATTTCATGAATAAGATTTACAGTAACATATATTCAAAATATATAAATGTAATAATTTAAAACCGGGCAATTTTATTTTGTAAATATAACACCTTATCAAATTTTCTGAAAATTGAAATATATCGTAGTGCATAAGACAAAAATAAGTGTATATTTGCATTGTTATAGGTACCTAACTCATTTTAGAAATATAACATTCTTAGAATAATTAAAAGAAATTTTGTGTATTTGATTCTTTGAAAATGCCACGTATTATTATTTCTTCCTAATCTTACAGCGGATTTTTGGTACTACACCTTTCAAAAAATATTCAGTACTTCAAATTTGAAATTCAAATTAAGTTTGTGGTTCTTTCACTCAATTGTGGACTCTGGTTGCCTGAGCCTGTTATTATTATTCGTTGAAATTTTTTCGCGAGTCAAATCTGCGGTTTTAAGGAAGTACTTTTGGGCCGGCTAACCCTCCAGGGCTGTTAAAACGAGTTTTCTCGGTGAGCGAACTCTTACGCAATCCGGGCACTTTAGGGCGGAGCAGAGCACCGCGCCGCCTCGCCTTGGGGCGGAGCGGAAGCCAAACCGACAGCGGACGAGGCGCTTGAGCGACAACGCCCACCCCCCACACACACGGGAAATATACAAAAACATTGTATTGCTAATTTCAAATGCTCGCAGAAAACGAAAGACAACTTTGCAGTTATGTGTCTATGGTCTAGTTAGCCTAGGTGTAAGCTAGGCAAAAATTCCAATTATCATACTAGAATTACTAACAATTTCTCCGTTATTCATCCTACAAAATTTTTGGAAACCTGGTATAATACTGTTTTGAGATTCTTTCTGTTTTCTCTCCACTATATTTTTTAAAACAATTTTTCCCCTCGCCTCCACACACGGGAGGTTCAACAACAGGGGTCTTTCTTATGTTGTGTATTGATCAGGGAGCGATGGCTTCAGCCGCAAGTTAACTGGTGGTTCCATTTTTTAAAGACACACATTTACAAAGGAACGATTTTTAAAAATATTGAAAAGTATTGAATTATGATTTTTTTATTAATTTAAAATAGTTTATTTTTTCTGGATGGAATAGGCTAATCATATCAATTATATAAAATTATATTAAGCACCCGAAATCCAAAAGGTCAGTCCCGATTGATATTGCAATATATAAAAACGCCCCCCTACCTATGAGCAGGATATATTATAATATGAAATTCTATACAGGCTTTCGTTCGAGATCGTTCCGCACACAAAAAATAGTACATAATCTAATTTTATATACCCGCATTGGTACGTTACGACACAAGCGTCATAAACTTAAGTATTAGTACCATCACATCGAGTATAATAGTGTATTTTTTTACGACTAGTAAAAACTAATGGAAGTTGAACTTGGTTATCATTTCTCCGATTTCTTGTGGCGTTGTTAATTCCATCATCGTCATCATGATTCATTTCCGTCCAACACTTCAAATATTTTTCTCTGTCGTAGAGGGTTGCTTACAATTCCCCGCGCCTCGTCCCGTTCCAATGAAAAATTTTAAGAAGCGATGACTAATGATTAATTATATCACTAATATTAATTATATTTCTTATTTCGCAAACATTGCTGTTATTGGTTTCATTTGTCGGTAAAATGGAACTATATCAAATGACTAATTATTATTAAATGGGATACGTCCAACAAACAATTATGCAATGCGAGTAGTAAAAAACTGATTAATCGAACAGTTAAATATCGATTCCAGAATATTAACATCATATGCTATTATCAGACATGAAGTGGCACACCAATCTTCACCTTGAAAGTGAAACAGACGTCTCTTATGTACAAAAATGTGTGAATGTTGAAATTCAATTGTAATATTCTAAAGCTTTTGAACATAACTTAATGAATACATGTTCATTAGATATTTTTTGCCGGTCAAAATGTAGAAACAAATTTTGATAACCACACGCCGACGTATTAAAAGAAATAGGTAAAGGTGAAACCGCGATGAACCGTTGCCATTCCTAGCGACAACTCTGAAGCTCGACTTCTACAGAACAGCTTCCGGATTAGCTTTCCCCTCGGATGCCCGCAGGTTCGAATAAAAACTTCTAAGGCAGGCCGAAAACTTTCACTTCCTCACTGTCTTGTTCGGTCCCCATACGGCCGCTGGAAGTCAGATTATGCCGCTGTTACGTGTTGTGGATTTAAATGCCTCCGAGATAATGCAAGTAGATTTGGGAAAACTGTTTCTTTACTGAGTAAAACTCCTACAATCGCATTAAACGCGGTGATGTTCTCTATTGAGTGCAACAATGTGCAATTCATGAAATCGTGATTAACGTTGTGAAAAAAAGAAGAGAGATCGAAAACAGAAATGTTAACGGTTTTAAAGTTCAACGTTAATGAAGTTTGTCTGTTTGAGAATTTCACACTGCAGTACTTTGAACAAGCGCCAAAATTAAATTTTCTTTCGACATACAGTTGATATTCACACGTTACAGCAATTTTTTTTTTTTTTTTTTTTTTTTTTTCACAACGTTCGTTGATTTCGAAATTATTGAATCACTGAAGCATTGTTACGAACTGAAAAGTTTTGCAATAATCAGCAGTAAAGAACGATAACAATTGCCTCCAACGTCCGTCGGTGAGTCCGTTAGCCCCGTGAACGGAAATATCGCGCAATGCTCGTCCAGTGGCACCACGAAAGGGTTGAATTTCGTCGTCGCCCGTCACTCAAACACTGGCACACTCACTTACCTTCAGCCGGAGAAGCCGAATCCGCGGAAGTGGGCGTGAGGCGCCGATGACCAGGCGGCCAGAGACACCTGTGGCAGAGCACCGGGCCTTGTCGGCGGAGGGCGGCGGCGGTCGCAACGAACGATCACTGACAGCGAGTGGCGTGCCGGTGTCTTTATACGACGCGCCGGCCAACGCTCACGCGTGCATCGCGCGATGCTGCGCTCGCGGTCATGTGACCAACGGGGAGCCCGCCTGCGGGTGGCGTGATCGCGGGCGCTAAGGGCGAGAGTCGCTTGCGCGCTGCGCGGCCCCCACCACGGCGCCGCGCTGCGCCCCGCCGGGCCCCCGTTGCGCGCGCAATCCAAAAGCTAAGCGGCCCAGGTGCGGTCGCGCAGCACGCGCCCGCGCACGCCGCGCCGCGTGCTGCCGACGCGAAGGTCGCCGCGCCGCGCGGAGTGGAGTTTGGCCCCGAGGGCCAGCGGATGGACCGAGGGACCGCGGCCAACTGGACTCCCCCTCCCCCACACACAGCTCGTCCCGCGGTAGCATAGACTTCGCAGATCACGAACTCGTTGTTGAATTTTTCCCGGTTCTGAAACTGCAGAGTTCTTTTTCAGGCGCGGATCCACGGTGAGGGAAATGTGGGAAATCCCCCCTTTAAATATTTCAGTACCGAACAATTAATTCTACGAAACTTTCACACAAAAATATTTCCGGATATCATTAAAACGAATAAATGTGTATCGCAACATGAGCTGAGTGTAGCCTGCCATATTTTACGAAATCTGTAATATGACACATTCGACCAAAACATTTTGAATTTCCCCTCCCAAAATTGGTCTCTGGATCCGATTCTGTCTTTTAAATGTTCACTTCGATTTTTTTCACACTCGTGCGCCACTGCGGCCTGTTTTATAAGTCTACATTGATGAATCGAAGCGAGGGGTGACCATCTCCATTCCACTTCTAGAGTAGGGGTGGAGTACTACTTCGATTTTTCTATTGTGCCTTACAAATGAATATTTTTAACAGTGGTAAGCACATTTCTGAAGCCACGAGCCCCGTTCAGAAGGAAGTTCGCGAATTTAGTTAAAAGTATTGTTAAAACATTATTAAAAATATTATAGAATTAATTAAAAATATTCATTTCATAATGCAAGATGAGTACCAATGGCCTAATATCATTGGCCACTACAGAAAAATCGAAGTCTAAGTGGAGGCGGGGAAGGAGGAGAGGTCACCCCTCGCTTCGATTCAAC